TTTTGACGATAGATGGCGCTGAATAGAAATTGTGTTTGGCCTGTTTCTTTGTCTATCAATGATGAGATTCGATCAGTAAATAAAATATGTTTGAACTGTCTCTTTGGTTTGCGGTAAACAATGATATATTAATATAACAGTGTATTAGTTCCTATTTATACGATAAATATTTAGGGGAAGCTATTAACATCCCACATGATGGATATAATCAAATAAATTTATATTTTTTTACCTGTGCTTTAATGCTATTGTAACAATGATTCTGAATATTTGGCTTACTAGCTGTGTTTACATGTTATGTGATTGGCTGAAATGTGTTGTGTGATTAATGAAAAAAAATCATAATAAAGGTACATATTCGTCTTTCTGTTTGTTTATTTGTCTACCTGATTATGTGTTTTATTTGTTTTGTGTTTGTGCGTGGCCTGTGGTGTCTGTTCACCCCCCCCCCCCTCTCTCTCTCCTCTCCTCTCTCCTCTCTCTCTCTCTCTCTCTCTCTCTCTCTCTCTCTCCTCTCTTCTCTCTCTCTCTAGTCTGTCGTACACTCTATATTCTATCTATCTGAGTCTCGCTCTATACTCTATCATCATCCAGCTCTCTGCTTATGCTCCGTCTCCCTCTCTCTCTCCGTTACTCCGCCTGTTGTGATGAATTACCATGCTACCGCCTAGCCTCTAATAACCTAGTACTATTAGCTCTTCATTATCAGTCTATGTCCCGTGCGAGTCACCGCGACTTCTGTCTCACAGATACCTAGTGCGAGTCACGTACACTACTCACCATGTCTCTCGTCGAGTGCACGCAGCGCGTGCGGCGTGACCTACTATTACTATATATATATCATATACTAACCATTATACACACACAGCTATCCACATCCCATCCACCGCCAGTTCACTCCTCACCATACATCTATCACTTAACAACTACAATATAGCACTCCACCATCTACCTATATTAATCCGATATAATACCCCTACCTCACTATATCAACCCTACCTACATTACTTACTGACCCATACCCTATATCAACCCCTATACTACCTACCATATATATATATATATACCGTANTATATATATATATATATATATATATATATATATATATATCTATATCTATATCTATATTCTATCTATTATCTATATATATATATATTATATATATATATATATATATATTATATATATATATATATATATATATATATATATATGTATGCATACACACACACACACACACACAAGAACGATAGAGAAAGACGCAGCAGAAAAAAGTGGAGGAGAGACATAAACAAGTATCAGCAGACAGAAGAAAAAATAAGACGAAGAAAAGGAGATTCTGTCCCCCCCCCACTGTACCCATCCTTTACCCTGGATGAGTCTAACAGATCTCTTGCTTATGGCGCTCTGTCCATTGATATTGATAATGCATTGGATCGAAATCGAGGCCGAATTACATGGCATGAGCGTGATATGCGTACGAGAGAAAGTTCCGATGATGAATTAGAGAAAGAAAGATAAGATAAGATGGAAAGATAAAAAGGAAGAGAAGTAAACAGATAAATAATAAACAAGAGTCTCCTTTCCCCATCTTTCCTTGGTTCAGAATATGCACAAGACGCCGGGAGGAAAAAGGCAATGCTTGTCATGCCTCTTTCTCTCCGCAACGAGTCATTGCTCATAATGATTTTTTAGACATTTTTTCATCTTTTTTCTTATTTTTTCTTTCGTCTTTTTATAAATCTTCAAACGTAACAATGCTTCATCGTCAAAAGGAATTTCGAAAGGTTTTTTTGGAGACGAGGTCGACTTGGACTGAACTGGCTTTCTCTCCGTGGATCCTGGACGAAGAGAGGGAAGAAGCACGGGGAAGATAATGAAAAGGAGGGAGAAAGAGAGGGGGGGATTACGATTTAGAAGGGGAATAGAGGAGCGTGAGAAGGGATGAAAGGGAGGAAACGAAGGAAAGAGAGGGAAGGATAGGGAGGATGAGAAGACGACTATGAGTGAACTGGCTTTCTCTCCGTGGATCCCGGACGAAGAGAAGGAAGAAGGAGTGGGGAAGAGAATGAGAAGGAGGGAGAAAGAGAAGGACGGAGAATGAAAAGGAGGGAGAAAGAGAGATTGATTACGAATGGAAGGGGAATGGAAAAATGTGAGAAGGGAAAGGGAGGAAACGAGGGAAAGGAAAGGGTAGAGAGGAAAAGGGGACGGAAGGAGAAAAGGCTAGCCAAAGAAGAGAGAAAAAAGGCAAGGAACGAAAATGGAATAGGGAAACGAAAAGAAAAACGGGCAAGAAAATGTAGACTAGAATGTGAAAGGAAACCAAAGAAGAGGGAGAGTCAAGGGAAGGGGGATGAAGATGCGAATCAAGAAATGGGAGAGACCTAAAACAGCGAAAGGGAAGCGGGCTTTGTGCGCGGAAGAGGAGGAGAGGGAGGAGGCTGGGTATAAGAGGACAGATGCCCGGCAGAAGCGCAGTGCTACGATCGCCCGCGC